CAGTTTTATCATCTAAAAATAAAGAAAAACTTTTTAAAAAATTTGTTTATAGGTGTATTTTTAGTACTTACAGATTTAAACGTATCAATTGTCATATCTCCTATGAAAACAGAATTGCAAGTGAGAGGCTTCTGGGATCTTGTCATTATTAAAATCAACATTTTTCTAGATGGTGTATTATAATTAATCCAGTTGGTTTCATTATATATAACATTAGCCAAATTTCCGCTCTGAAAAACATATTTAAAGAGAATTGAAAAATTAGAAACACACCTCTTCAATAAATAGAAAATATTAAAAAATTTATTTACAAGAAAATGTCAAAAATTTTGTTTTTTTAAAATTTATCATAAGACTCATATCATTTATGTATTTCGTTTCACTTCTATCCAGGAATTAGCAAAGAAAACAATCACAGGTCTTCAGCCTAAGTTAAAATGTTTTAGAATTAAAGCCATGTGCAGTTTATATAAATCAGAAATAATACTGGTTCTAGGACTGTGCCTTGAGGTACAACGGTTACAAATTTCTGAGCTTCACTTGGTTCATTACCAATTTTTAGAAATTGTGTTCTATTTTCAAGCTAATATTTGAGAAGACCTAATGCTAGTCCCCGAATACCTAGTGATTAACAGTATCAAATGCCTTTGCCAAGTCCAAGAATACTCCTCCCAATATGCATTAAATTATAAACTTGATGCATAATATGCAATAATTGCATCTTCGGTAGACTTAAAGTGGCTCTCAGAAATTAAATTATTTATATCTAAAAATGACTTAAGTCGAGCTTGGAATTTTATGTTCACTAAAATATTGGCACAAAGGAAAATACATATTTGTTACCTGTTCTTTTATGCCATTGGCGTACCAAAGAAATAAAAACAACTGTGTTAGCGTCATAAATACAACAGCCAGTTGTTTTAAAGCATCCGCAAAAGTAGTTGCCTGGAAAAATGTTTTGTTTTTTTATCGAAGATTTTTGTAACAATAATACTAACCACAAGTAATTGAATTAAAAACATCGCCAACTCCATGGAATTGCTAAAGAAACCAATTAAAACGAATTCTTTGCAAGCTTTGTTGACGAGTTGCATTAATCTAAAATTGTAAGTAAAAATGATTTTGTGTTTTATTGAAAATATCCCATATAGCCAAAATAAATTTCTAATAAGGTTCTAAGAAATGCTATATGATATAATTTAAACAACTATCTAAATCTTATAACGTGGTTACTGGTTAAATACATTTATACAACAGCTATGCAACCAAAAAAGGTCCTCTTTTATACAGCAATTAAATACCGTAGAAGTTCGATAAAAGATGTATATACAACTCTTAACAATTATAAAATTGTTTTATAAATATACTCGTACATTAAGAAATACCTATACGACCTCGTGAAATATTTATAAAAACATCGTAAAGTAATTGTATAGTAATTATAGAAACTTTAAAAAAAATTAAATAATCATTTTGTTTCTTACGATGAAATTTAATACAGATGTATTGAAATAACTACTTGTGTTCATTCAAATTAATCAAATTATATAAAATTCCACATTTTTTCATATATTTGTTTCATAAAATCTTGGATTGGAAGTACAAAAAATTAATAGTTGAGTCATTTTTTACCAAACACATTTTTTATAATTTAGTCAAAATTAGAAAAAATATTGTATGTAGCACCGTGCGAAATGCCGTTTTGTGCAACTTGTTCGTCCCGTAAATATTTACTCGTTACGTAAAATAAGGCATTTCGTCACTGTTTGCATATATAGCTATTGTAATAATTGTTGTAGTGTGTTTTATACGTCGCCCTAAAGGAAATTTTTATGACTTATTCCTAAAGAACCGTATAGAACTTTTAAAAAACTATTTAACACGTTCACTACCGCCGGCCACTAGAGTGGCCTTTCGGGTATTTACTGTGAACCGCGGCCACTATACTGGCCGTGAATTCAAACTCATTTTTATGCAATACAGATACTAACTGAGCTACGAGTGGTGGCGCTTATGGTTTTTTCGGTCTAGCGCGAAGTTAGATGCGCGCTCATGGCCACTTGAGTGGCCGTTGGTTTGCTGAGTGTGGTTTTGTTTTCAGTCAAACACGTACATTTGTTATTGCCTTTTTTATTACAAAATAAGGTTTTGCTGAGTCTTTTGTGTGTAGAAGTTGTTTTCAACTATCAGTTTTGTTACAAAATATGGATTTCACTGAGAAAGCAAGGTAAAAATTATTTCATTAGTTTATTTATATAAGTTTTTGAGGTTATGTATTTTTAAGTGGGTCGAAAAAAAGAAACCCAAAGCGTCCGTTGACTCTAGCTGAATTAGAAGAGTCACAAAATATGTCGAATTGGTCGGATTTGTCCGAAGATGCCGAAGATCAAGCTTTTTCAAGCGATGATTATATCGCTGACAGAAACTACGAACCACATGATTCTTCAAGTTCAGCGTCTAGTAACAGCGACCAAGAATCACAGAGATGACAATGTGATTAGTATTTCAAACTCTTCACAAACGAAATTATCCCAGACCTTAGACATTTCTGATAATGAGTGGACTGACACAGAAGAAGGTCCCATAACGTTTCCTTTCACGCCAAAGGAGTCTATAAGTATAGACATTCCGGAAAATGCTTCGGCCTTACAATATTTTCACATGTTTTTTGATGACACCATCATTGAGATAATTGTCCGTGAAACAAACAGACGAGCCAGAGAATTTTTTGATAAACAGCCAGTATCTACCCGAAAAAAAAACGACTACAATGGCAGGATACATGTGTTGAAGAAAAGAAAAGGTTCCTAGGCTTATGCTGCCTTAGTGGTAATATCCGCTTTCCCACTTTGGGAAAACAGTGGAGTAAGCATTCGTTTTATTTTCATCCCGTTTTTGGGCAAACCATGTCTCGGAATATATTTTCGGACAATCTCAGAATATTGAGGTTTGTTGATCATTCTACTGCTAATATCGCAGATCGTCTCTTCAAAATACGACCAATTTTGGAAATACTACTTTCAAATATAAAATCAATTTTCACTCCAGGGCAACATTTTAGCATTGATAAGGCAATGCTATTATGGCGAGGAAGATTGACTTTTCGCCTATACATACCCAACAAAAGGCATAAATACGGCATCAAACTCTACGAGTTAACCACTGATAGTGGATTGATCCTAAATATAATTGTTTATGTGGGTAAAGAAACCTTGACCGACGAAAATGATCTCATGCTACATCGGTTGTGAAACATCTTTTGGAAACTTATTTGGGCAAAGGTCACATACTGTATGTAGACAACTTTTATATTAGTGTCTCACTTGCAGAATTTTTTCTCTCACAAACTACTGGAATGGTTGGTACTTTGAGAGTTAACAGAAAAGGAAATCCCAAATCAATAATTAACAAGAAGCTAAAAATAGGGGATACTATCTGGAAATGCAAAGGAAAAACTGTTGTAACTAAATGGAAAGATAAGAGGGACGTTAGAATGATAACCACTTGTCACAAACATCAGATGGTTAAAATTACAACAAGAAGAGGCCACGAAAATCTAAAACCACAGAATGTTCTAGATTATAATGCCCATATGTCGGTAGTTGACAGAGCCGATCAAATGATGCCATATTATTCCAGTCCAAGAGAGACAATAAAATGGTATCGAAAAATATTTTTTCATTTGGTGGATATCTGCATTTGGAATGCCTGTTTCCTCTACAAAAAGAAACACCAAACAACAAAAACCCTTTAGGAGTTTCGAGAAGAAGTTTTGAACGAACTTCTCAAACCAAAACAATTTTCTCTGAGAATGATGGAGAATAGAATGCTATGAAAAGATCCAGGTGGTGCTCGAAAATAAATGTAAGAAAGAGGTCAAAGTATTATTGCCCGCAATGTGAAGACCAACCTGGATTATGTGTTATGATTTGCAGAATGGCACCTTCATTTGTCTCAGAAGTAATATATTTTATTTTGTAGAACTCAAGTTTACTTCAATAAATAATAAATAAATCAATTTTATTTAATTTCCTTGAGACCACTATAATGGCCGTCGGTCTGCCAAAGTCTATGACTACTCATGGACCAGCGGCCAGTTTAGTGGCCCTAAAACAAAATGGCGAAATCTTGTTCAGAAGATCAAACTGAATGTGTAGCTACTTGAATCACTAAAAAATTTCTAGTGGTTCAAAAGTTATTGCAGTTGGCTTGGAATACACGCAAGCAAAATATTGGTGGTAGTAAACGTAAATATATTACATTAAACAACTTTTATACAAATTTTATCAAATTCGAATAGAACACTTTTATTAATGTTGGTTAACTTTTTATATAAATAGTAAACATTCAGAAGTAATATTTTCTATAATTAAATTGTACCTATAATTAATTATACAACAAAATAAATAATTGTTTGAATGTAGCAACAAAATAGTAAAGACTATTAAAATAGTTTTAAAAGGCCCTAAACGATACTTATAACATTATTTTATCCTTTTAGAGATTAATTTTGCTAGTTGGGATATTATTTAATTGCTGTAGCGGTTTGCTGCGTATCTATAAACTAGTTTTGCTCGCAAATTACAATAAATCTAATAAAAATTTGACATTCTATTTTTTTATTTAACCAGTTCATATTCTTGATAAAAAAATGCTATATACAATATGTCTAGCATAATAAAACGTGACATACAAAAAATTAATAGACAAAATAACCAAAACTAACCGATAACATTCTCTGAATATTTACCCACTCTTCGTTTACGATCCAAGTGATATCAAAAAAAGAAGAACATTGACGTCAATGATGTAGTCAATGTTGTAGCTAAGGAAAACATGGTTAAAAGGCTGTCTTTCCGAGAAAGGACAAAGACCATCAATTAAACTTTTCTGAAAAAGTAGGTCCTCATTTGGGATTTAGTTAGTTTAAGTTTAGATATTTTGGCTATTAAAAGTAAAATTTATAGATACGCTACAGAATGTTGCAATTGCATTTTCTCTTACTTTTGTATTTCTCCATATTTTTTAGCACATCCAATAATAGTTTCCAAAATAGCTCGGTCATATTCCATATTTTTTTTTTCCACCAAATACTTACTAGTCTCATCAATACCTCTCACTCTATTTTGTAAAATTTTCACCTGTCCTAATACGTAAACCATGAAAAAGACAGTAATAACTCTAGTAAAAGTCAAACAGATAACCATGGACCAAAATAATACAGTGTCAGCTAATTTTGTAATCCAGAAATGCTTGTGATAAAGATCAAAAGGATACCAGAGTTGGTAGCAAATGTATCGTTTTAACGGACAATTTATTGGATCATCTTCTTCTGCTAAAGAAGCTTTAGTCACAAATATGTACCATGGTATGGATGCTGATACTGTCAAAGAAAATATAACGTAGATTGTATTTCTGTTAATCTTTGCGTACTTTTCGTAAGTAGCTATATCTACTTCTGCGAATTCTTTATTTTCTCTGTCCGATATATAGTTTAATACCTACGAAAGAAGATATTACAGGTCAAGGTTTATTCATAAATATGATTTGAACAAAAATATTAACAAGTTTTGGACGTATTTAAATAAAAATAAAAATTAATAAAATATGGATTATTTCCCTCGCTTTTATCCAATCACATCGCAATTTACCTTTTCGTTAGAACCAATGAGAACCAAATAAATTGACTATTTTCACTGACTATTTTAAATGGATTATCCATGCTTGGTGCCTAGATATTCATCTATGTTGACAGCAACTCGCATACTTGATTATAGGTATAATTTTAATAACGGCTACTGAGGCAATAAAAATAGTCTACTAGTTATCAAGGTCTCGTTATATTGATACAAATTATTATGGATTTTAATGGGATGAATATACCTCAAATGATTGTGAACATGGGGAGGGCTTCATTTTGGATTTGACTCATCCACAGGACTGTCTAAAGGCTGTAAAAAGAATAAAACCAAAAGAAAAATTGCTAGGGTGGATAATATTTCTCCATATATGAGGTTCCTACTATTTCATAGGGACAGTATTGCTATTTTTTAATAGTAACACATAGAAAGTTGGTTAAGGGTCTATCTTTTCACCTCTAAGTAAAGTTATATATGGGTTTACTTGACAGAATAACAATTTAATTAGAGATGAAAAGACTGGCTCTAAATTAGAAAAAAACTGCGTAGTTTTGTGTTCATTAAAATCGTGCCAAGAAATCTTTGATATATAGAGGGATATTCAAAATATCAGACAAAAAATGAATGAATTTAAAGAAATGACAATTTACATTTTTTAACAAAGGTTTCTTGACACCATATTAATGAGCCATAAAACTGAGCAACTTTTGTCTAATTTATCCAACTTTCTATTTGTTACCGTTTAAGAGCGTCGTTGATGTTGGCGGAAGTGCTATGGACCAGCGAGTAATCTTTAGGAACCGTGAACAGGTCTTGTTGTTGCTCGGTTGTAACACCATGTCTTGCTTTTCTGGTACCTCCATATGCACCCATAAATTCTTCAAAGACAAGGTCAGGTGTTTCTCGGAGCTGGTTTACTTCTTCTTCCTCTTCATGGTTACCCTCAAATGGCGCCAGCCGGTTTTGGTGCACTACCTTTGGTTTACCGTCCGGGATCTTACTTATACGGTAAATGACATCATTGATTTTTTTCTTGATAAGGTACGGGCCTTCCTGAGACCTTTGAAGCTTTGTAGAATAACTGTTTTGTCTTTTTGGGTTATGGAACCAGACTTTGTCGCCTTCCTTGAAACATCCTTCTGTGGCTTGGGTATCGTATCGCTTCTTGATTCTGTCACTAGCGATTTGAAGATACGAGCGGACTAATCCATGCATTACGTCCACTCTTCTTCGTAACTGGATCACATTATCTTCACCAGCTACATCTTCTCCAGGTTGGCATCCAAACTCGAGGTTGCACGGTAGTCTCATCTCACTCCCAAATAGGATATTTTCTGGTGTTTGGCCTGTTGATTCATTGACAGCGGATCTATAAGCCATTGTAAAGAGCGAAAGATACTGATCCCAATCTCACTGATGGTTTTAAACCACTTTTGAAAGATACTTTTCAATGGTCTTATTTATTCGCTTTACCATTCCATTTGATTGTGGGTGCAAAGATGTTGTTCTGGCTTTCTTCATGCCTAATCTGTCACAGATTCCACGAAAGAGTTGGCTTTTAAAATTTTTGCCTTGGTCACTGTGGATCTTCAAGGGCACTCCAAATCGACAAATAAACTCTTCTATCAACACATCTGCAACAGTTGCGGCCTCTTGATTTGGAATGGCGTAGACTTTTACCCACTTCGTGAAATAATCCATAACCACCATCATGTATTTATTACCATTCTCGGTCGTGGGGAATGGTCCAGCAATATCTAAGGCGATCCTCTCAAATGGGCTACCAACGTTGTATTGCTTCATGGGAGCCTTCCTTTTTCGCTGAGGTCCATTACTCATAGCACAGCTGGTACATTTCTTACTCCAACTCCAGTTCTTTACATCATCAGAACTGTTAATCCAATAAAACCTTTCACGAACTCTATGAATGGTTTTCCTAATACCGAGATGTCCTCCTGATGAACTGTCGTGTAATTGACGAAGTACTTCGGATACTTTACTCCTTGGAATGTCCAACTGTCTTCTGTTCTCGGAACCATCATCATTTTCAAGTACTCGCTTTAATAAGCCATCTTCCAGGATAAAGGAGTCCCACTAAGCAAAATACGACTTAAGTACTAAAGAGAGATTAGATACTTCTTGCTAAGTAGGTCGACGATTTTCCTCTTTCCATTTTGTCGCATCTTCTTTATAACGGGATCGTTCTCTTGTTCTTCCCTAAGTTTGACAGGGGCCCACTCATCGCTGACAACCGACGTTCTTCGTATTGTAACTTCTTTAAAAGATGTGGACAACCCCTTTCCAATCAGAGTTCCTTGACAAACACTTTCATTGTACTTCGGAAGTTCCGTCATGACAGGCGTTGCTTTCTCTACAGTTCCTTGCGACCGCCTTACTCTTAAGGTCTCAGTACTTTCAAACAACACCGTTTCTTCCTGTATAGCCTCTAGCATGGTTTTTCGATTTGTAGTGTTCTTTCATTTCATTTCCCATTTCACCGCAAATCCAGCACCTAATAGTCTTCGGTTGCTTCTCATTAAGGGTTTTTATCATGTGAAACAATTGGTCCAATTTATTTCCCTGACCTTCTTCTTCTTTTACAGTCCTCACTTCACTGTATCCACCGGAAGCCAGCGTAGCCGCTTCATATTCAAGAGTAGCGGACAAGACATTGACCAATGTTTTGTGACGGGCTAAACGAAGTATTCTTTGCATTTCATGGTCACGAAGTCCATCTACAAATGCTGGAACGGCCAAATATTCAATCATGTATTCCGGATATGATGGGTAGGCAAATCGCACCATCTTCGCAATATCTAATTCGAATTGTTGAAGGCCCTCGTCATGTTTCTGTGTGTCATTCTTCAACTGTAATCTGTACACCTGCTCCAACTGTTCGTGGCTATATCGCATGTTCAGTCTCTTTTTTAGTTGTTCAAACTCATCGGTCTCTTCCACAGGTATAGTCTGAAGAACACCTAAAGCGTCTCCTCGAAGGGTGATTGTCAGATTAACTGCCTTTTCTCTCTCAGACCATTCGTTTGCCCTCGCAGCTGCCTGGAACTGTTTAAGGTAATTGGTCCATGACATCTTTCCGTCGACGGTTGGGGCTTTAACACGAGCAGAGTTTACAGCTCCTTCCAATTTTAACTTCGACTTCACCTCATGACATTTTATTTCACCGTCCTCGTCCGGTTCTGAATTTTCCAGTTCTTCTATCTTCTTTTTCATCTCTTTATTTTCTTCTCGACGGAAGACATTATTTTATTCTCAACGGACGAAATCTTATCTTCCATAGAAGAAATTTTGCTTTTCAAAGAAGAGATATCAGAAAAAACTTTAGTTTCTAAAGAAGAGATTTCGTTTTTCACGAAAGACATATCAGAAGACACCTTTTCTTCTACGGATAAAATATCAGACAAATTTTTACTTTCTAAGGAAGTAATGTCAGAAGAAACGTTAGATTCCAAGGAAGTAATGTCAGAAGAAACTTTAGTTTCTAAGAAGGAAATATCATTTTTAATAGAGAAAACATCAGAAGAAATATCGGTTTTTAAAGAATATATCTTACTTTCCATATCAGAAGAAACATGGTTTCCATGGAAGACATTTTACTTTCCAAAGAAGAAATTATAGAAGACGCATCATAAGGAAACACATAGGTTTCCGGATCCAAACATTCACCTTCTAGTGCTTCTTTAAGCCGCTCTTCCAGCTCTTCTTTCTTTCCTGTTGTCTCCAGATCACGATCTTCAAATTCTCGACGCAATTCAGCCACTTTTAAGTCACACAGTTTTTTAGCAATTTCTATTTATTTACAGTTCCACTTCTAACACCAATGTAACGATAGTCTAATTTATTTATAGTTTATTTATTTAAAACACACTATTTACAATTTATTTATGATGTACTAATTAATTTATATAATACTAAGGCACTAACTTACAATTCTAATTTAAGTCATAATATTTAGGTTCATATTTTAATGTTTGACTTATTTATGGCCGGAAATCTTAGCCTTAAGGCTTGCGGTAAAACTTTTATTTTTGGAGTTATATATCGCCCTCCTGCATCTTCTCTTGTTGACTTTATTGGTGAATTGGAGGATATTGTCGCTAATTTATTACCAACTAGTGATTTTCTTCTTATATCAGGAGATATCAATATTGATTTTTTAACACAAAATAGAGGTCATGAATTGTGTAATAAATTTTCAGATTCCTTCGGTCTTGAACAAGTAGTAAATGAGCCAACTCACTTCACTCCACGGAGTGAAACACTTATAGATATTATTTTTGTATCCGATGTGAAAGAAATCTCTGGGGTAGAAGTATTTGATGTAAAAGGTCGTGGATTATCATATCATCAAGCAGTTTCTTGTAGTATTAATTCATTTACTATGAAAAATAAAACTAAATATATCACTTATCGCGACTTTTCTAAGTTTGACTTACAACTTTTTAATTTAGACTTGATAATGTTGATAACATGATCTCCTTTTTAAATGATTCTCTAATACATCTATTCTCCAGACATGCTCCTTTCGTAACTAAAAGAGCAAATAAACCACCTGCTCCGTGGCTTACAGATACAATTAAAATTATGATTTCCCTCAAAGGTAAAGCATTAAGAAAATATAAACAAAATAAAACTATGTCTGCTTTAAGAAGTTACAATGAACTTAGAAACTACACAACCGGAGCTATACGGCGGGAAAAGAAGGCTTACCTTGAATTCGTCCTTAGACAAAAAAATTCAAAAAACACCTGGAATACTCTTAGATCCCTAGAAATCCTTCGGAAAAAAACGAGCCCAGATATTCCTGACAATATAAAAAATGTGAATGCTATAAATGAACATTTTAACTCTGCACCTATGACTTATAAATCTCCGGATCAATTATCACTACTAGGTCGGTACACTGAAGTAGAATCACAAAACTTATTCCAATTTGAAACCGTTACGTCAGGCATAGTCGAAAAATCACTTAATCGAATTAAAAGCAATGCCGTAGGCCTAGACAATATCTCATTGCGTATGCTTCATCTAGTTCAGGACTGTTTACTTAATCATATAACATTAATATTTAATTATATAATCTCCTCCTCCCAATATCCTTCTGCATGGAAACAAGCCCTTATCGTTCCTATTGCTAAGTGTAATCAGGCAACGAGTTTTTCTGATTTAAGACCAATCAGCCTTCTACCCACTTTATCAAAATCATTTGAAGCAATTATCAAAGATTAAATTACTGGGTATGTTTATCAACAAAACATTATAACTCAACATCAGTCAGGTTTTAGACGCCATCACAGCACTACTACTGCTCTTCTGTCTATTAGCGATGATATTTTTAAAGCAACCGATCAAGGGAAAATAACATGCTTGGTTCTTCTCGACTACAGCAAGGCATTTGATACCCTAGATCATTACTTACTCTGTAAGAAATTAAACTTTTTCGGCTTTACAAAAAATGCAGTTTCCCTCATATCAAATTATCTTAGTAATCGCACTCATAAAGTAATTTTGGATGGCAACATATCAAATTTCTTACCAGTAATACAAGGGGTGCCACAGGGTTCAATTTTAGGACCAGTCCTATTTGCTCTGTACATTTCTGACTTCCATAGCTTTGTTCAAAATTGTGCGATTCACCACTATGCTGACGATACGCAGCTTTATCGATCTTTTGACAAAGAGTCGCTGGGTAACTCAAGTCTTCATCTTAATGAAGACTTGAATTCTTTATTTAATATATCTACTGCTCACAACTTAAAAATAAATTTGTCCAAATCTACAGCAATGTTATTTGGTGCAAAAAAAAATATAAAATCAACTATAGATCAATTACAGATTACAATTGGTGGCAATGTTCTTCAGTTTGTAAATGAAGCCAAAAATTTAGGACTGTGGATTGATTCCGAGCTTCAATTTACAAAGCACGTAAATTCATTGTTGCAAAGTTGTTTTACTGTTTTGAGACAACTATTTCCTAGCCGAGACTTACTTTCCACACACACTAAGCTAAAACTTTGTGAATCTCTTATTTTTTCAAAGATATTTTATTGTGACTCTATTTACGGACCTGCGCTATTTCGATATGACTCTCTACGTTTACAAAAAATTCAGAACTGTTGCTTGCGTTTCGCATATGGCATAAGAAAATTTGATCATATTTCACACAAAATGATCGAATCAGGATGGTTATCTTTAAATAACTACGGGACACTTCACTTATTAACATTAGTTCATAAGACATTAAAGCTTTAAAAACCCGATTATTTATTCAAAAAGTTAATAACGTTTTCAAATATAAATACATTATCAACGCGCAACAGAAATATCTTAGTCATACCTAAACACCAAACAGCATTTTTTAAAAGATCATTTTCTTATGTAGCATCAAAAGAATATAACAAACTTGGGCCAGAAATTAGATCCTACAATTTAGTTAATTTTAAGAAGCGTCTAAAAGAGTATCTAAGAATAGAACCATAAGTAATACAATTATTAACAACAATTCATGACAACTTGTAGGATATGAATATTGATATATCGAATATATAAATTAATTTGGCTTAAAAAAAAAATAAATATCCTGTATGTTTTTTATTTATTTTTTTCACGATTTAAATATGTATTTTTTTTTTTTTGTTAGGTTAAGTTGAAAAATAGTGAAAACTGAACTTCGCCCTTTTATCATTTTTAAATATGTTTTTCCTCGCATAAATTACTGTTATTGTATATTTTCCTTTTTAAGTGATGAATAAAGTCCTGTTATTATTATTATTATTATAAATGTCAAATCTTGAACTGCAAACTTTTTTAAAAGCGCTTCACGTTTTTCAAATACGAACAGTTCAACTGAGTGCTTTCAAAAACGCGAGTTAGAGAATAAGCCCACAGGTCCGTTTTTACTACTGTCGATCTTGATTTAAAAAGAAAGTGAACGACACCTAACAATAAATTTATAGAGGATGTTTTTGTTCTTACCCGTTTCATTTTGTTAGTTTTGCTGAGATAACTCATTACCAAAACGTTGGTATACTGAACGTAATAGCAAGTCAGTTCCATAAGTCGAAGAGGACATTTTCTATAAATCACAACCGATACCAATACATTTTGGACCATCAAGATAGAAATATTATATAACAAAAGAGCATATATTTTGTATAAAAAGTTTAAAAGCGGATTTTTCAATTTAAGGTGCCAACTTCCTGCAGCCATTAACAGCCATTTATGATATTTGAAGAAGGAATGTTTAATATTCATTTTATAGAAAATGATTTTTTTCTATAATTGTTATTCACCAGTAGCTACAAAATTAAAAAGATATAAATTCTATTTTTTTATTTTTTTTAACCTAGTAGGTACTATTTATATTCTGCTATTCTGGTTTTTAAACCAAAGTTAACTTCAAAAATGTACTTACACGAAAGCGACCAACTCGTATTTAATCTCTGACCAGGTAATTTAACTTAAATATCAACCATCAATTAATTTTGATGAGTTTCAATTAAAGAAATGAGAAGAGATTCCATTTTTAAAAACCTTTACTTTTAATTATTGGGTACATTGGAATTAAAGACATTTTCTTACCCTATTATTAAATGAATTATTTTTACAACCTGTACTTTTCTCATGAGAAAGATTTAATTTTTCTCGTTAGTATATAGAGAATTATTTTTATCAGTTTTCTACCAAGAAATTTATTGTTTTAAACAAAATGCTGGTTTTTGTTAGAAAAATGCTTTACCTACCTAAATTGAAACAATAAGAAATGCTTTTATGCTATAAATGCATGAGACAGTAAATGTATTTAATTTTACATTAAAGCTTGACTTTTCCTGAAAATTTCAATTTGATATTGTTTTTTGTTTCTGAGTTAGGATTTTTTCAATATTTAAATTCACCTTATCTCCCAATTTATTTATTTATTCACTTCCTTATAGAGCTTGATTTTTACTCATCTCATGTTGATATCGCTTTTCTGTTGTATGTATTTTTTTATTTCAACCCTCCTTGACCACTATTTTATTTAGATTTTTTAAAACAATAGACTTTGTCCACTTATAGAGCTTGATTTTCCCGAAATTTTCAAGTTGATATCGCTTTTCGTTTTTGATTTACATATTTTTTTAATTTCAACCGCACTTAACCCCCTATTTTTAATCTTATTTTTTTCAAAATCAATAGATCTTGTCCCCTTATAGAGCTTGATTTTTGCTAAAAATTGCAAGTTGATATCATTTTTTGTTTTTGACTTATCGTTCGAACAAAAAACGTGACATCGAGAGTAGAATGTATTTTATCCTCGATTTCGATGTAGGAATATATTCTGGATTTTTGATCAGTAATTATTCGGATTTGTTCCAAAATTTTGAAATTTTGAAAAAAGCTTCCACAAAAAGCTGTTGTCAAAATGAACAATCTTATCAATGCGTCCTTTAGAATAACGTACATACAAATGATGTGGAAGGTGGCAGAAGTTATAATGATATGTAAGCCAGGCAAACTTCCTCATGAAGTTACATCGTACAGACCCATCCCTACCTATTATCTCAAAACTCTATGAAAAAATGCTTTTTAATAGGTTGAAACCTATACCAGTAGAAAATTAACTAATATCCTCCCACCAGTTTGGCTTCAGAGAAAAACACTCGACCGTCGACCAAGTTCATAGAATCACAGATATCATCAAAAAGTTCCTAGAAGAAAAGAAAAAAGAGTTTGCTCCACCTTCTTTTTGGATGTGGTTCACGCTTTCAACAAAGTATGACATGAAGGCCTGATTCAAAAACTGATGTTCCTGTCACGTCAATACTCTCAACTATTAAAATCCTATTTATTAGAAAGGTATTTCAGATTTAAACAGGAAGAAGCCTGTTTCGACCTAATAGCAATTAAGGCAGGAGTATCTCATGGTATTGTACTAGATCTAGTACTCTACTTGTTGTATACTAGAGATATTCCTTATCTAGAGTCCAAAACTATTGTATATTCTATTTAATTTATGGTTCATATTTATAGAAAAAAATAGTTTATATTAGGTTTGTTCCAACCCAACAGAAAACCGTACGTTGTACGGCCATCGTCATGCGCAGTAAATAAAGTCCGTTCCATCCGAGAATTGACGATTCATTGTACCGTCCGGTTAGCGTTCCAACCAAACATGGGTCCGTTCGGGAATCGGTTTCTGTACGGTCCTTTCGATACCAAACTAAAAGTAGGTATCGCTTGAGTTGACATGCGCACTGAAACGAGTAAGGCTCGTCTTTTTTGTTTGGATTTGATGTTTAGTACTTAGTGGTGTTTACGTTTTTAAATTAAATTGTTTTTCAGATTTTCTGCCTAATTATGTTAGTTTTTGGATAGTACCTAATTTAATTATGAGTGATGAAGAAGGTGATGATTTTCCCTCAGACTTATCGTCTAGTGAAGAGGATTTAGAACTTGCCCTAAATGAACATAGAGTTAAAAATGATAACTATTTAGGTAATTCCTACTTCCCGCCAACTGAAATTGTCAAACAGCATCGTTTGGTTGGAACAAACCTATTATTCAACATCTTCGTGTATCAACCATTTGTATGCACGTCATATTCCGTAATAGACACATAGTTGATAGTAGATAATATTAGATTCGGAAGCATACAGAATACCGTGGTATGGCACTGACAGTGATTCTTATTCGTGAACCGAAAAAATGGATTCAGATCACTTGATTTGAATCCATTTTTTTGTAAAAAGGATTCGGACATATGATCCTTGATTCAAATCACATCTCGTGATTCGAATCTATTTTTTGAGGATTCGTCCCAGCTCTGTATGATATCCAGCTTTGGGGCTGTGCCAGTAAAAGTAACATCCAAGTTATTCAACGTTTCCAGAATAAAGTATTAAGTAACATCGTCGATGCACCCGGGTACTGCCTCAATACTGATCTTCATAGGGAACTTAAAGTGAAGACTGTTGAGAATACAGTAGAAAAATTTGTCAATAGTCACCAATAACGACTGCTCTAACAGGGGAACATTGCGGTTATCCGGCGCCTCAACAATACCAATCTAATAAGAAGACTCAAGAGAACCAAGCCTTTTGAATTAGTTCAATGATGTTAGATAAAAACAGACTATAGTGCGGTTTAGTGGTATACGTTAACGGTAGTGTAACTAAATAATTAGACTCTAAGGTACACTAGTGAGTAGAATCTTAGTTTATGAAGGTTTTCATCCGTAGATAAGTTAGGTTAGAATAAAATTGCCAATTGATCCTAATGATCAGATTGTAATAATTGTAAATTCTTTTTTACTAGGGGCATTTATTAAAAAAAAATCATGTACAAATCACGATACACAGACTATCGGTATGTTCCTGCGCATGCAACTGACTGACGGTGACGTCACGTGGGACATATAATTAGTATTAAATGAGAGTGTTTAAAATTCAATATTTCGCGGTTTTTAGATTTTATTCAATTACTTTAGCTTTATTGACATGACATACCGCACTCGTGTCGCAGTGCATTAAATAAGCTCCATAAGAAAAGCATTGCATTTTAAAAACAGTTATATTTAAAGTACTACAGTTAAACTGAACATTCTGAAAATCAATAGGGTTTTCAGCTCAAAGAAATTATATAGTAAAGTCAAAACCGCAAGTTCGATCGGTGTTTTCATTCTAGAGTTATCGTGCTCGAACACATATGCATAGGCGTCTAGATAAAACTTTTCAAAATTGTTAAAAAGTGGATGTAATAAGGTTTTCTCATCGAATATAATATACAGAGGCTACGTAGGTAATAGCAACCACAAACTCCTTCTTTAATCTAAGTATATTAAGTGCCGATTTTATTAAAAGTTGTTCAAATTGGCCTCCATCCTATATTTATGCAGGCATGAAGATAATTTTCTAAGGCCCGACACATTTCTAAGGCCCGACACATTTCTAAGCGTTTTCACAGTAACACTTTGAAATATTTCTCTTATTTTTATATCATCTACTAGAGTTGTAGGTACACATAATCCCAGAAAAAAGTCCATTTTAGTTCATTCAGTATTGGGAGTTTCAAAACCTACTTAAAAATAGCATTTAACTAATTTCGAATAAAGTAGGTAGTATGGAATTTATTGTTGTGCGAACGCCTGAGCCGACTCTGTTCTTCGTTCTACAGCGCGACGTGAAGTCTGGCACCCGACTCATGGTCGAAACCTGAAAATACCGATCAAAGAGAAGCGACAGCTTGGTGTTTTCAATGTTAAGTGATATTTTTTGGTGTTTGTTTTATGTTGTAATAAGATGAAGATTTATTCTAATGCAGATACAAAATGTGCCAAAAAAGTTATTAGGAAACTAAGTATAATTATTTAATCATTTATAATTATTTATTTTTTTTTTTTTTTTTAGGTAGGTTTGGATTTTGTGTAATATACGTTTGTCTTCATTTAAATAAATTTATTAAACAATGAACTGCAAATTTTGTTTATTTATATAATCAATCCGCGTATTTCCTTAAGAAACACTTTTCAGTAGTTTCAGTTAGGATTGGTCAAAGTGGACGAAACGACTCTATTATGGCTAAATTGTAAGTTACAATTATGCTAATATAAAGATTTTGGAAATATTGGTAAATACTTAAATAAGTACTACTTCTTAAAATTCGTCTATGCCTAGACAGCACACATAGTCCAATGGAAGGCCACTTTAGATCCATTTGAGGGTCAGGACGTTCGGGCACCCAGTATACGTCCGTTTATGATCATTATTTTGACAGCTGAATATTGATACGCAGAAGATGTCCGTTTTTGGACTTAATATTAAGTTAAGCAGTATTTTGACGTCCTGTTTTTAAATAATTATTCATTCAAAATTAACAAATTGAATCTATTGCATTTCATTATATCAGCGGAAGTTTGAAATCTTATTCTATTATAACCATATCCAGTAAAAAGTTTTCAATTGGATCCTTGGTCGAGATCGTCTAGCGGTTGAAAGTGTAGAACG